AGGCTGGGGACAAAAATGCCAGAGGATGATAGCGCTGCACCAGAGACTTCTTCGATAGGGGCAGTTTCAGCCAAAGGCTCTGCCTTGACTAGGGAGTGGCAAATCAAATCATAATTACATTCAAACCCAACTTGATAGATAGATAGAAGCATGACATCATCAAGCACCAAATGGATGCTGATAAAACAGATATCATTGATGTTTGCTGCAAATCTCACTCAAGTAAAATGGCACACCAACAAGCCACCAACAGTGAAAAAAGGTGATGAAATCCAAAGAAAGATGCCAGGTGCCAGTAAACATGTCCAAGGAATCCATCCACTGAATCATTCTTCCCCGTTGGTGCTCGGCCATTGTAGGAGCGCATATCAGTTGGCACAATGTTGGTCAGAAGACCCGATGATAGCCGTCTCACCTCAGGTGATACAGTATTGCATCAGGTGATACAGTGGTACTAGACACATCAATCAGTGTTGCATAAGAACAGACCATTTGCCCAATCAAAAGTTTTGGACTCTTGGCAGTGGCTGCCAACAAGTAAAAGGGGGCTCAATTCAAATCCAATTTAGACAAGGTCACCCTCTTCTCATTGACACCCATGAGAACGCACCAAGCCTTCTCACATAGCTGGAAGCCACATATTTGGAACTTGATCGGGCAAGATTTCTGGACCTGAGCAACTTATGGATACAAGGGGGTGATTTTGAACAGAAGAGGACCACCAAAAAGATCAGGATAGAACATGGGTAAAGGCTGACACCAATCAAGTAACAATAGAATAAAAAAGGATTGTTATTATGGTCAAGCAACATCCTTTTCGTCAGAGAAGTTGGAGTCAGGGACCAATCGGTCCAGTTGTTTCAATTGGCCAAGGAGGAATTGATTCAGATCATGCCCAGTCATTGGACCCATAGTTTGTCGAAGGCCCTCAGACATGCAACATTGAGGGTTGTTGTTGAGATGAGATCACAGGAAGGGTCAAACACACAAAAGTCCTAGAAGGGTAAAACACATAAAGGGCTAAGAGTTTAAAATATGAAAAAGATGTGGCATAATCATCTTAGAATACATCACATTAAACATACACATATCACATGTATAGAATCTATATGTCCATACATACAAGCATCAGCAGTAAATCACTCAAACCTTCAGCCTGCAACCTGAAATTGCAACACATAGCATTAAAACAATGATCTGATTTCAAGATAAGAATCTTTGAGGTGCTTCATCCTGCTGTCACCCATCCGAAATTGTGCCACACATCCCTTTTTGCAGCAGTAGATCGGTTTATCGGGTGGTGTCCTTGGTTTCCAAACAGGGTTGGAAAGGTCATCAGTTTTAAGGTTGGAAGTGGTTGGAAGTTGGGGAAAAGGTCATCCATTATTGTAATCTGCAATCATGTTTTACAATGTATGTTGCCATCATCAATAAAACAATAAAATATATAATACCCCTTGTCAAGGCACTCCAAGCTAGGTAGCCGCTGGATAGCACGAGAAGGTGTCACCAGGTCTACCACCGGGCAACTCATTGACAAAGTACCCTTTTCCATGAGGATCTCAGGGCCCACATCATCATCCGGGGGTAGCTCCAACGCCATGGCTACCCACTACCCAACACCCACCAGCAACAATCCTTGAGGTCTCCAGATGATCAGAAAGGCCACTGGTGGGGCTTTTCATGGACCAAGCCGTGGACTGATGGAGACCAAGGTCAGAAGGTCCGGATGTATGGCATATATGGTATACATTGAATCGTTTATCGATGTTCGCCAATGATAGCCAATAGCAGCTATTCAGCGCATGAAGTTGCCAAGTTCCAATTATACAATTCATGGGAAGCTAGCTGGACCAGAGCCCTATTGAGACCAATCTCTTCAATGCCTCCCCTGGTTCTTCCAAACATAACACCAGGTTGATAAATGTGTAATTACTCATCACGATACATTATGATTATGGTACATCAAATTCACAAACCGAGCAATGGGGAACATCAAATAATGGACATCCAACCATCAGGGAATCAGACAATTCAGGCACACATTAACTATCATTAACTTTTTGGTGTCTAGCACAACGCACAACAAAGATGCACATGACGTATTGTCCCTTGGGCGTTTTTGTTTGATGATTAGTGGTGTCAATCTGAACAGCCACATAAGAGTAAACACATAGCACATGATTCAATAGAACCAAAATTTTAAAGAACATATTTTCAATTTTCTGTGACTTGAGTGTCTTTGCCTTACGCCAGTCAGCCCGTCCACCTTTCCTTCCTTCTTCCCGCCTTCTGCTCTAAGAGGAGAGATAGCTCAGTCCTGACCTGACCATATCATCAGAAAGAATGCCAGGGCCATTTAGAGAAAGAGCAAAAGGATGAATGAAAAGAAAAAAGATGAATCCCAAAGATAATAATGATATCATAATATATGCCAAGCAATATGGAAAAGAGAGATGTAGAATGTCCTAGTGAAAAAAACACTGCAGCTTTAAAATATAAGAGCAATATGGACACACAGGCAAAACAGAATATCAGAACATATGTCAGAACACATGGGCTGGCTACCCAAAATTATGGCAAACAAATGCTGGCAATTTGCACAAAGTCAAAAGATGTTGGAAAGGATGCAAGGACAAATAACAGGATGACTATTTTAGGTACTCAGTTTTGTTAGAATTTATGTAAATTGCCAACTTGTGTCAAAGGTAAATCTGAAAAGAGCACCAACCCTGACATTATGGTGGGGATCATCCAATAGATTTTGAGCAGGCCCATGTCACAACAACAGCCCATTCACCTAACTGGCAGTGGCTGACTCTGCAATGTTCAGACTTTTTGCTTGAACATGGCATTTGGACCCACATTTGATGGAGAATGATGGAGATATGAGTGTCACTGACAAAGTTGATCATGGCACACTGCAATTATATAGTTGTCACTCCAAAGAATGAGGTGGATGAACTAACATCACCACAACTCAAACCAATCAACTCCCCTCAAGAGTCCCACTCTCACTCCCACTCAAATCCAGAAGTAATGATGGATCAAACACTAACTGAAAAATCTTCACCTTCCTCCACTTCCACTTCCACCTGGCCTTGCAGGCTGGCTGCTCCAGATTGCCACAAGATGCCACCAGCACCAGCGGCCGTGGCAGTGGGTGGTGTCCCTTTGGGTGGAGGGAGGATGTATGATATGATATGTGTATGTCAAAAAGTGGAAGGATGCCCAACAAGACGATCGATGATATTTGTATCTCAAGTGGAAGGATTCCCAACAAAGCCAAACAAACCTGAAGTGCTGCAGCTTGTCAGCATTCAGAGGCCAGAAACCTTACCCTAAATCAAGCGCAATGCACCCCAAATCAAGCGCATTTCCTTTTATACACGTTTTTAACCTTCTGGAACACACCAGAACCTGTGCACTTGGAACCTACAACCTCACGGAACCCACTCGGTGACTCTCAGCCGTGCTTCCACCTAGTTGGCTTTAGTTGGTTGGCTTCCACCTTGTAGCTTCTTGCTCCTAGTAGCGATGCCAGGAGCCCCTAGTAGCTTCTTGTTCCTAGTAGTAAGGCCAAGAGCCCCTAGTGGTTTCCTTGCTACTATTACCATCTAGAACCCATGGATTGCAACTCGCAAGATGTGGCAAGGCAAGACTTTACCGTTGTTGAGTATCACTCAGTATAACGTTGTCGAGGATGATTGGTATTACATACTAACTCCACAAGTCTCAGCAGCGAAATGACCTGTTTGTCATGTACACAAAAAGGCACTGCCGGGATTCATGACATCTCCCAGACGTGAGCACTCCCAATTGCAAGGGTTGATTGAAAGGACCTTTTTTTGGACCAAGAGAGATGATGTGTGGAATTTGAGCGATCAGTGATCAACCCCGATCAACCCCCAACTAGTTGCCAAGGCTAAATCCATTCCGTTCACTGCCTGTGAGATTCTGCGCCTTTCCCCGACAACTTACTGCTTTGGTCTTCAGCCATGTAGATTTTGGATGATTGCGGGGTGGCCTGGGGCACAAAAAGAAGACTTTTAAAGCCCAAACACAGTAAACGATACGCTCAGGATGAGCCTTGCACAGCCCCACGGGTAACGCAAGCCCTGCATCGCCCTATCTTTGGAGCAAGCTCTCAAGCCATAGGGCCATGAAAGGTCGGCAAAACACTCAAGGAATTCGGCACTGAGACACTCATGGGATGTGGGCTTGTTCGAAGCTGTCGTATCTTTTTAGCCTGATGTTCAGGCCATTGCTCTTAGGTTGGAGGCCATCGCTATTAGGTTTTCTTTAATTTTTGAATCTCTTTTCATTCTTTCTCTCGTTTTTTCGCTTTCTCTCTTTTGTTCACGTCATACTGTGTCTCCCTTTCGCTGCCGGCCATTCCTAGAGCCCACATGATCGCCATCGATTCGGAGAAGGTCAAAGCTTTGGTCCGACATGTTCTTGACTTCTTTGCTCCGTTCGTAGCGATGCCGTTCCTAGTAGCTTCTTGCTAGCAAGGCCAGGAGCCCCTAGTACCGTCCTTCTTGTTGTTCTACTTCATCTTGTCATTTGCATCATCAATGCCAAACATGTTTGCGCCTTTTGAATTGCACAGAAACATGTTTGGACGCTACTAGGGGATCCTGGGCATCGATCGCTACTAGGAGCAAAGACGCTACTAGGGCCTCCTGGCCTTACTACTAGGAACAAGAAGCTACTAGTAGCGTCCTTGCTCCTAGTAGCGATGGCCTCCAACCTAAGAGCGTAACACAACATACGCAACTGGTAATCCTTGAACAAATCACTGACATGCGACCGACATTGCTGTGCTGCCTTTCTGGAGGCCCCACGGTATTGGATGATGACACAAAAGTGTTCATTGACCTCGCCTTCGTGTTCTGGTGAAAATGAGCGCTCATGCATGTGCAGCACCATCAACCACACCACAGTGTCTATTTTTCTCTTGAATGTCTTGATGCTCTCACCATCCCGGACTGGCCCACCTTCTTCAGCAAGTACCATCAGGTCAGTCCCTGGTAGAAAGAGAACAAAAGCATAGTCTTCCTTGACTACCCCTAGCTTCCCAGAATCAAAGGATGGGCAGAACATACAGAAGCTATTAGTAACAAGTGCCTTACTGGTAGTAACAAGTGCCTTACTACTAGTAACAAGAAGCTAGTAGAAACAAGAATTAGAAGATTCACCTTGCACGTCACTGCGCAACCTGCCGGACTGGATCCGCCTGCGATGGGTGTCCCGATGGGCACTGGCCGAAGCGACGACAAAGCCCCAGCACTGGAGACGTCAAAGGCTGCCGACCAAATGGTGGTCTCAGTAGGGCCGTAGGCATTCCTCAGTGGGAAGAAGAAGCTACGAATGGAGCAAAGGGCATCGCTACTAGGAGCAATGACGCTACTGGGGGCTCCTGGCCTTACTACTAGGACCAAAAAGCTACTAGGAACAAGTGCATCGCTTCTAGTAACAAGTGCCTTACTAGTAGTAACAAGGACGCTACTAGGAACAAAAAGCTACGAACGTAACAGGTGCACTTGGGGGCCGCCTTTGCCCAAAGCCCTGGAGGCGCTGGGACATAATTCGAAGCGACAAGTCGTGCCGGCAACGATGCAAGCCAAACATGGGTCCTCTCAAGGACTTCGATTGCGTCAAGTTGTTTGTGGAATCATTGTTCCGTTCTGCCATGCAGGTCTGGCTAGTCATCTACAACTACAAACATGAAAAACTCAACAACTCTGCATTTTGAACCACGGCCCCCTACAATGAAGAAGGTCCTCCCCTATCGATTTGCACACACATTTGTGACAGCCTCACGCAGCAAACCGATGCACAATTTCTCGGCCAAAGCAGCCAAAGCTGATCACAGCGCAGGCTCAACGGCTCGAGCAAGGCATCTGGGAAGGCCTCTCGATGTTTGAGCGACTCCAAGTCAGACTATGAAGAAAGCTAATCCAAAGAGATCTTCTTGTAAAACGAGCAAAGTTTAAGGTCGTTGATTTGATTTGTGTCCAGATGAGCGCAACGAAATTGAGCTGCCGTGTTTGCACTTCTTGCCTATAGGTCATGCGAGACGCAGTCCCACACCAGCGGAAAGAAGACCAACAATCTGCATTCAAACACTGTAATTGTCAAACACATCCGTTCTTTTCTTGGATGGTCAACCTGCGCTTGGCGCAGGTGACTTTCTAATTGGGCCGAACAGAGCCATCTTCTGGAAGTGGGCCTCCTTCCGCTGTTGGGTGTTACCGAGATGTGTCCGCTGTCGAACGGGCGGACTTCTGGCTCCACCTCCCCGCCGCAAATAGCGAAGACGTTGTTGTGAACGCCTTGCCAGCCTTTGCTTCCGAAGTGAGTCAACCAACATTAGCTACCCTACTTGGAAATGATGGTGGACAACTGCGTTCATGAGATTCAAGTGCTGCTTTTGAATCAACATGTCTTATGGCTGCGTGTGGGATGTAAACATTTATCACTCTTTGTTGTAAGCACACAGACATGGGGATGGATGAACTTCGACCGTCAGTTTGCGGAAACCATCTCCAACTGGTGGCCAGGTGACATGTATCTCGTGTGTTTGGCGGTTGAAGAAAACAACAAAGAAGTACAGGGCCCCTCAGGCGCCTTTAAAGGAGGCCTTCTTACAATATATGCATTACAGTACCCTCTCTTTATTTTGGCTAGAGCCGAAAGAGATGGACAGGCGGTTTAAGCTTGCGGGGGCTTTGAAAGGACAAAGCTGGACTGACAACCCACAGCTCAGCAGGATGCATCGCCTGCATTGAGGAGGCCTCTGAAGCTGCTTGGAGTTGCCTCTGCCACAGAGAATGAGCAGCTGATAGCTGGTGATGGGAAGTGACCAGAGCAGGGTTGGCGCATTGAGAGAGACACATTAACATTGCACCAAAAGGCCATGCAACCGTTTCATTTCGCACTAACTGATCCTCTGTCTCCAAACGCTCATAACACATCGCTCTGTCTCAGCCTGGAAAATGACTTGGCCACCGCGTGCTGCGGCTCTCCGGCTGAGCTCTTCCAAACGCTGCCGCAGCAACGCTCCGCTGCGGCTTTCAGCGGCAGAGGCTAGGTGAAGGCCTCCCACGAAGCGATGGCGAAAATGGGCAAGGCGTCCCTGACAGGCGACGAAATGATACAATTGGAGTTTTGTCTACTCACGCCTGCCGTACGATATCTAGCATATGCTCATCCTCTCTTAAATAGAAAATCAAACCCCCAACACCACCAGGGATCATCATCAGAGGTTCTCACAATGAAAGGTGTGCTCAGTGTCCATTTTCAACTAGGATCTCTTTGGTATCTTCACCAACCTCACAGGGCAGCGGGATTAATAATTCGGTCTTTGAAATAGAGTGACCAAATCACTCATGGCTGTGGGGACTTATTGAAGACATTGTGGCTTTTGGGACTCTGTCCATGTCAGTTGGCTGAATGGATCTTTCACGTTTTCGGACGCTTCCAAACATCTTCCAGCATCTTGGTACTTGTGGGTAGTGAGTCATCCTCCCACAGCAGGATTGGCTCATTGCCAGATCAACAACTTTGCTTGACAAACTTCTGGTTCTCTTCTGATCCTTTCTAATTCTCTCACACGGGTACAACCACACGAGGTACCAAAGACCCTCATCAACACAACAGCCGTGTCAACGGACTAAAACCCAGCGGCTGAAGCCATAGCAAAGTGGCCAGAACATCCTCAGCCATTCATGGAGACTCATCGCGGATTGGGTATTCACCATTGCCATGAACACGTGTGGATAGTACGCTACTAGGGGCTCCTGGCCTTACTACTAGGAGCAAGGACGCTACTAGGGGCTCCTGACATCGCTACTAGGAGCAAGGACACTACTCGATAGTGACGTCCCGAAAAGGATGAGTAACTACCGTGGTTGGAAGATGTTGGAAGTCACCACAACCTGCGTTTGCCCGCTATCTCCTACATCCGGCGGGCTTCAACGAGTTGCTTGTTGGCTGGGTAGAAAAGTGAGTCAAACGCTTCTGGAACTGGTTGATGCTCAACTTATAGTCATTTATAGTTTAGTTGCACCGTCCTGATCTTTCCAAAGACACTTGTTGCCCTACTGAGCAAGCTTGCGTTTCACGGTGCGAACACAAAATTAGCTTTAAAAAAGGAAGCAAACAAGGTCTAAAGGTCTGCCAAAAAGGCACATAAGAGCAAGCAGAAAAGGATTGGTGTAAAAACACGTGGAACAGCCTTTCATTCTACCAAGTCGATTTCCTGCGTATTTCATATACACCCTGCTGGCGGAATGCCTTTGCGGGGAAATACAAACCTGTGCAAGCGGGCTGAACGCTCTTGTTGTTTTGACAGCTTTCTGGCTGGATCCTTGTCTGTCAACAGGCAGTCGTCCGGACGACTTGGGTGGCCCTACTCCAGCACGGAGATATCGAAGCAGAAAGTTGTCACTGACAGGAGGACATCCTCCGTGCTCTTCTCCTGACCCAAGGCCACTGAACAATTGTGTGGCAGCATGGCTCTCTAGTGATGCACAAGAATCCCACTAATGCAGCAAAACTCATTTTCCTAATCCTGCAATCCTTTAGCTACTTTAGCTTGTTTTTCTCTTGCATTCCGAGCGATTACTACAAGTGACTTGCAGAAACTGAACTCAGCAAACCCATCAACACCACCTCATCCTATGCCGACGAACTTGTGTTTGAGACCCAAGTAGTTTAAAAAAATAACTAATCATTTTTGTTGGTAGTTTCACTAAGTGACCCATAGTGACATCTAGCGTGCAAGAGAATGGTAGTACCGTTCTCCACAAGAACAGGCATGGCAAAAAGGAAAGACATCTCGAAGCATATCTCTAAGCATCACCTGTGGGGCGGCCTTGCGGAGGGATTCGAAAGCGTTGAGGACGTTGGCCACCGCAGAATGCGGCACGAGAACTCCTGGCTGACAACTGGCTGTCCTACCTTTGCATTCTTGTAAGTTAGCGACAGCATTCTGGAAGGCATTTGTGTTCTTTGTTTGGGGCGAGTGTGGATCTTCTCAATGTCCAATCGCATGGAGCAATCACCTGCCTGTTTCGCTTTGCCCTGCTGAGAAAATGACAAGACAGTTTCAATTCCCTAAAACATCTAGAAAAAGACATAGAGACACGCATTCTTGCTTCTAGCAAGGGAGGGAAAGCAGCGTCCCAAACATTCTGGAGCCACAATCTTCACAAGAGATGTGGACAGCACATGAACGAAAACAAAGAAGAAAGATAAGAAAGGAACATTTGGGATGTTCCCCACATCTGCAGGGTTCAGAATTCAGACTTGAACCATACTCAATCTATACACACCTTGATTCAATTATACATCCTCAAACCCACCAACAAACCACAATATCATCTGTCCTTTTGGTGTTCCGGTGGAGCCCGATGTGTAAATGAGATAGGCCAAATGCGTCACCTCCGGGAGGCGAAGCTTGGTGAAGCGAAGGAACATGGCGCAAACTGGCACATGGCGCATCCACACCTCAACCCTCGTTGGAGCGTCCGTGCACGGCTAACACACCAAAACACATGGGGTCAATGTCTAACAAACGATTCAGCCTGCTCAACGGCGGGTGCGGGAGCAGGTTCCTCATCCATTTCAGGCTCTCCACTGGGCCACTGCAACCTGCAGCATGAGCAACTTAAGTTTGTGTCCTCCCTGGTGAATTTTGACCCATCCTTCCTTCTTTCCTTCCATCCTGATACACTGCAAAATAGTAGCCCGATTGAAAAAACACATGCTCTTGGGGTTATTAGGTTTCAACAAACATCATTTCCCTGGGCTCAGGAGAATGAACAAACAGGTTTTGCACAAAACGCCGCTTCGCCTCAAACGAGGCCACTCCAACGAAGCCGGCGGCTCGCTGCCGCGCTCCGTGATCACCACCGAGGCCTCGTGTGAACGCATGAGTGCCACGTGCCAAGTGCGAGTCGAGTTTTCCTAAAAGTGACAAGGAAGTTTGAGCGGTCCAAGGTTTGCAGTTTTGGGACCGTCAACGAGTCAAACATCGAGATTTTAATGAACACCTGGTAAGTGACACCCCAAAAGACAGACAAGATTTGTGCAATCTCAGGCCTTGGTTCAACTAGCGAAACATCAAACAAACCACACTGAAGATAAGCAAATGGCTTCCTTAAGCACAACAAATTGCCTCGGAATCTTCAAGGATGAACCGAATCCGCTGTAGAGGAAAGCTCGGCTCCAATGGCACATAGGCCTGGCATTTTGCTGGTGATCCTGGATGTCCTTACCTCTTGCAAGTCAAAAACCAATGCAACCCAGAAAAAACATCATAAAATAACAGGACACATGAAAGCTTTAGAATGTCCTAAAAGGCCTGAAGAAGGACAACACAAGTAAAGAGGAACATGTGCTGTTGCAATGCCTCTGTCTTGGACTCGACTACATCTTTAGAGGCAAGATGCTAAGTCATAGGATGATTGCGTGCATCAACTGTCGCCAAACTCGCCCCCTACTACGAAGCCTTTACAGAAACAATAGTCCAAAACTTGTACACGAGTCACATCAACTGCCCAGGAACTCAACTCTCGCATCAACTGCCAAAGAAGCAACCCGCTAAAATTATGTCTCTTCCTGGCCTTCTTGGCACGCCACACGCCTAACAAGGCGACGATGAGCCCAGGACCTGCAGCTCCACGTTGCTATAGCAAATCTTCTTATCCAACACTAGTCACTAGAATCATCAATTTGATTTGCCTCACGGAGCGGGCAAAATACACCAGTTTGTTATGGTATACAGAGACAACACATTGGAGGCAAGGCCTGAATTTCCCACCAAAGCGCAGAAAGGGGCCACCATCACGCCCTTTCTAAACACACTGAAAAACAACACCAAAACGCCCTTTCCTTGTGCAAAAAGGAACTATCTAGGTGCATCGCTACTAGTAACAAGTGCCTAGTAGTAACAAAGAAGCTAGTAGAAACAAGTGCCTTACTAGTAGGAACAAGTGCCTTATTAGTAGTAACTAGAATTTACAAGCGTGAACACTCCGATGACTCGAACCCATCCCGGTCTGGTCTCAAGAGGCCCACCACGGGGTAGGCAAACCGCCACGAAGTGAGACCTGCTCTCAACCCGAAGCCCTTTGGAAGGGTGTCACTCACTCATGTGGAAACGGAGTAGTTCAGTCCGCCCTAACACCAACACCAGCACATGCAAAAGAATTGGAACAAATACGGACATGGCAAAATTGGAAAGCAGGACAGTTGTCTGAGTGGTTTGCTGCTCGTGTGCAAGGCATATTAGTCCGACATGGTGGTCTCATGGGCCTCTTTGATGTTGCCGTGAATACGGTTTTCTCATCATGCGTCCTGTCCTGCACTTCCTACACTCTGAAGAGCTTGGCATGATGCTTATACAACGACCTGTCGCACTGGCAAAAGAGTGGCCGTGGCGTTTTTCTATTTCGAATGTAAGGCAGTCCCGCAATACACTTTGGCTACCGTCGGTTGAAGATGATATGGAACCTGAAAATGAACCACTGGAAAACGATCTTCCTCATATCTGACAAGTGGTTTTCAGGCTGGATGCGTAGCACAGGTTTGCTCCTGTTTCCTAGCACTGCGGTTTGCATGCCGATTGTTTCACCGCTTTGGAAATCATCCTTCCGAAGCTTGCAGTCTGTCTGGGTTGTGTGGCCTACGAGGCCCAAATCACTTTCTTTCAGCCGTCTTCGGTCTTCTTTTAGCTTTGCCCTCTCCATAAATGAATCTAGATGCTGTTCTTCAGAACCGTTGTGTTGGGCAAGAGGTATCTGCATCCTCTGATCCCACCCCTAGACTCAGCAGAGCTGCTGAACCCTTCGGAGGGCTTCCGCCACATTGCCACTGCGGGTTGTCAGCTGCTCCACCGTCAAAGAACCATCCTACGGCGGTGCGGTGGCCATTCACCCTTCTGCGTTTGACGTCTGGAGCTTCTTCCCTGTTCACTGATGTTCTTATGACAGGTGCATTCCTCGACAATCAAACTAGAACCCGAAGAAGGGAGTTTGAACATGAATTCAGATCCAACGGCATTCTAGGGTCGATGCTACGATTGAAGAGTGCACCCTTGCGTGCAACACGTGCTTCCACAAAGCTTCGGCAGCTTCCGCGACTGCAAAGGTGTTCAAACGTAGGCTACGAAAGACTGATGTAAAAAACACTAACTCAAATTTCAACACCTGATAGAAATTGGAACATGTCCAACTGTTGTATGAGGCATCACCTTGGAAACCAGCTCACCATGGAGCCGGAACAAAGAATGTGTGCCGGCAAGCTTGAACTCAACAAACTTGATTCCTCTTTCGACAAAGATTGGCAGGCCTCTGCAAAGACGATCTCACGTTCCGAGTCACTTGTCCGAGCGGAATATAATAGCTCAACCTCAAGGCTCAAGGAATCTCAGCAGTTCTGGATGCACCTATTTCTCAGCAATCAGTTGATCAAAAGGTAAACGAGCGCGGGATTTTGTCGACAAGTTGTTGTGGTCGCGAAACCCACCGATCTTCTGCGCACCCGAAATGATCAAACACGAAAACTGCAAGGAATCAAACGACAAGTGACAAGGTTCAATCAAGCGCTAGTCGAATAAATAGCACATGCTAAGTCTGCTAAGTGTGGTTTTGCATCGAATTGGGCAACCATGCATGCTTCGCGGTGGCTTGTCTCAAATTCAGCTGTTGTTTTGACAATGTCCGCAGCTCTTGCCAATAACAACTGCAAATACAAGCCCTTGCAAAACAAGATTGCCCAAAGTGGCCAAACCAAAATGGGATGTATATTTCGTATGCACGTAATTGTATGTAAAATGCCAGGAACCATGGTGTTTCGGTTGACGCCCAAAGGAACAGGAACAACCATGGCCAACGTGTTCCTTTTGGTCGATGACCATCGGCATACCGCACCGGGGCAAGCTGGAAGATCACTGAGCATCCGATCCGGTTGGTCTCGAACGCCTGGAGGCCCCTTGAACATGCTACGAGTGTGTGCCTGACAGCGACATAGCGTCCAATGCAGAAACGAACATAGGAAAATGCACTCTGAAACATGGTTTTCATTTGCACTTAAGGATTGAAATCACATCCTTCAAATATATTTGCCATCACAACACTGCAGCCTTGCCAACTCCAACTTCGCTTCTACCCTACCCCACATGTAAGAACAACGGCCAAAACTTCGGCGACGCCTGTAGTTTGATGTCGCGACCGTTTTTCTTGGGGGCAAACTCAGCTTAGCATGTACGACATCAAACGATAGGGCCCGAACAGCCGCAACATCCAGAGCAACAAAGGAAGGCAACCCATCCACGGACCTGGGAACAACACAAGAAATCGCTGAAAAAACTCTCCTACGCCAACTCTTGTTCTTTCTTCACTCCGGGCCTCCTTTTTGACGGTCAGGATGTCTAGCGTGATGCGTTTAACCTGCAATGCAAAACGCTACTGATGCGGGTGTGTGATTTGTTCTCGAAGGTTCCCACAACCATGGTATAGTTACAAATGCTGCCATTGAACCGCGCCTCGCTGCCGAGATAAAGGTCCATGATTCTGTGCGTATACACGAGGACATCAATCATTTCCATGGCTCTCGAGATGAGCAAACCACCGCGTCCTTTGGCGCCTTTTTGGCGATGCATCACCCCTCTTCTATTTTCGTTCATTACTTACATGCCTAAATCTTTGCGCATCCTTGCGTGCAAGACGTGCTTCCACCAAGCTTGAGCAGCTTCCGCGACTGCAAAGGTCCAAACGTAGGCTACGAAAGACTGATGTTAAAAACACAAACTCAAATGAGAAGGGGATGTTGTGGACTTGAAAACACGTACCGTACATATCATCCAAATCCAACCCCATTAGTGCCATTAGTATCATCATGTTGCGTGGCCCATTTTTTCGGCATCGTCGTCATCGCATTTTCTCCGGCCTGGTGAAGCACAAGTTTGGGTATACCAGCTTCTAGCCAGTTGTTTGTTTCCACAGCCAGCTTCTTGCCTTGTCCAGCAGCACGAGCACATAGCTAGAAAGGCCTTAGTGGATATGTCCAATTTGCTTTTGCCCAACGTGGATGGCCCCGTCCACCAGCTTTCATCCCATCTGTCGAAGCTTTGGACGCGCGCCGACAAAACATCACGCGAGAAATCACCACATTCAAGCCGGTCTCAACATTCTTTCATGAAAGTGTCCAGCAACCCTTGCATCGTCGACATGACATGTCGGCTGCTGCACCCAAATTTTAGCCAATGGAACAAGCGTAAGTCAGTGTTGACCTTTTGTGGCTGGTGAGGGTGTTGAACTCTTTTGAAATCACCAATTGGGCAACAGCAGTTGTTGAAGAACAAAGCTCGACCTCCGCAGTTGGGGGCCTGCTGCCCAAGCTGCAGCGGAGCCTTCCTTTAGGTAGGTCAAGCATGGTCTTGCTCTCGACTGGTGAGATCCTAACGTCCATCACCTTTTTCTCACTCAGAGTCTTGACCCAGTTCTTGAACTCTCAAATTTCTCCACGTTCCCTTTACAAGAAACCTGGAGCATTTAAGGGCTTTGAATGTGACCTGAAAATGCCTTCAGCAAGAGTAGCCGCTTGAAAACCAAACTTTTACCTGTACCAGCTGAAAACGATCAATGAGCTTTGCACGTGGCAAGTTCAGCATCGCGTAGATATCAAACTGATGTGTTTTTAGCCTTTGATTATTGGATTCGGTCTTTTGCTCTTAAAAATCCTTCATTGAATTCAGATTCTAGCTTGCAAATGCCTTTGTCTGGGTGGGCGGCCGGATCTCTGGGACACTTTGCGTGTTTCGCAAAACAACCCTCTGGGCTAAAAGTTCCCAAAAATGCACTTGGTGCAAAGTCGGGCCTCTTGGACAACCACATGGCCGCTGGTTGTATACTCGATGTGGATCCAACCCGCCCGAGGCCAAAGCAGATTGGAGTCTGAACGCGCAGCATCCTTGGTCAACAGTCCCTAAAACATGGTCAACCCTTTCATAATCGTCCGTTTTTGGCCAATCGCCAAACTCATGGCACAAAATCGTTGCTGGCGCCCAACTCCAAACATCATCTCTTGGACCTTTCTTTGCTACACACCCACAACTACACCCACATAGTACCTCACAATGGTCTCTCTCAAAGGTGCGAGAGCACACGGTGGTCCATGGTGAGACATACTCTAGTTCAAGAACTCTTCGCTTGAAAACGGAGAGGACGAAGTCCGTTTCGGGATGAACGACCTCCGCAAACTGAATCGAAGCGACCGGTCACCGGAACTGGTGAAACCAAAAAATCTTAAGTTTTAACACTTCAACAACCGTGTCTACTCTGCCTGCAACGTGGTGTCTCGTCGAGCAGCACTCCAAGCGGCTGCCTCTGGGCCAGCCTAAAGCGTGATAAAGAACAGTAGTGGGGAGGCTGGGAGGGGTTGGGGCAAGGAAGTTGGTAGGTCAATCTACTCTGGGGACGCAACCCCCTGCACTTACTTGAAGAACCCTTGGCATGATTGATCTGCTTCCTAGATTCTCACCTTCTTTCTCCCATTATGGATCCCAAATGCGTCTCAACAGGGGCATTGTTACCTCCTGAAGAAGCTTGGCATCCAGCACTAATCCGGAGAGCCTGCAAGGAAAAAACACCTACAGTTCTGGAATTTTATTGGAAACACATTGCTCTCCTAATTGACACGCAAAGACCGAATTCACACTTCATCAACTGTGTAGCGGCTAGTGTTCGCTCTGTTCACGCTCTGAACTTGGAGCTCAGGCAATGCTCCTTCAGGGTCACCTTGATCCATCCGAAGAAACGCCCCGCCCAATAGCTCCTTCAAACGTGAAGCGACTTTAACGAAACTTCCAAGTCAAGGCAAGTTGGCAAGAACATCGTCCATGTCAGAAACAAACCAAGAAGAAGCAACACGGCTAAAGTTTGCGAAGTCCTGGATAGCCATAATGTTGAACGGTTTGTCCCTGAGCAAAACGACTCATGCCATCCCAATCCCCCACAATTCCAAAGCGGCTCAAGCAAAAACGAGCTAGAGAATGAACCGTCCATACAAATGCCAGAAACACAGATAAGAACGCATTCTGAGGTGATGATTTGAAAGAACTCTGCACTGGTTCCACGGTCTCTATGGCACACGGCCACTCAAAGAAAGGCTTCGACTTTTCTATCTTATAAAACATATACCATATATATAAAAATGTCTGAAGCACCCACTTGTTTTTCACTTCGCAGCTGGTTTGTCAAAAGATTAAAGAGTAGGATAGAATAGGCTAGCTAGGTCTGACCTGGGAGCTTCCGTCCCTAGGTAGGTTAATTCCAGCTACCCGGCCACTCCCTGGGTAGAGGAAATTACCTAGTCCCCTCTACCTTTAGTCAAGCCACGCCTCCTAGACCTTTAAGGCTAGAGGGGAACACAGACCAAGCAGCCAAAGAAAAGGTAAAAATGGGACCATTTTCCCCTGCCAGAACGAGTGTTCTTACTCGCCTTTCCACGTCCCCCAGTCCTTCCGCCTTTGGCTGGAGGCTCAAGTGTGGAAATGCTGGGATTCAACAGGAAGTTTCTAAAAACGGTAAGGAAAGGCTTTAGACGTGCATCAGTAGCCGGGAGTTTCATCTGGCTCAGCACTGCCAGTCCTTCGTTAAGATATATTCTTGCACTTTTCTGGGTATGCCAACGACCTTGGATTAAAATACGGTCGAGGTTCTGGTGTTTTTGGAACCAAAACGTGGCTCCACCTCTACGTAATGAGTAGGGTCTAAACCCCGGTTCAGCTATCTTGAGTTCAGCTATACACTGGTTGAACAGGGCTCTCCATCGTGCGGGCGAGGGTGTAAGAGGTGTGGAAGGCTGGCTGACCTTCTTCCAAGCTCGGACCATCAGACCCTAGGACCACGCTCTCAGCGGCACCATGCCGCTTTCCACCGTTGGTGAGGCCTAAATCAATCAACGCTTGAAGGGCCCCTGGTGCACATTCAATGTGGGACGAGAGGATCCCCAGGATCTCTCCGGTCCTCAACATACTATAGAACCCAATCAACAGGGAAACACCGAAGGAGACCCAACCATGAAAAATGGCCCATCCCAGCGAAACCATTTGCCTAGCCTTGGGCAAATGTCCATCCGCTCCTGGCTCGGTTCAAAACACCTCAGTGGAAGCTGCTTTTTGGCTCTCTAGAGGATTATGCCAACACATGTTACCCAGCCAATGCTCAAGTACAAAATCACCTTGTCTAGCCTTCTCGGCTTGTCACCACTGAGCAATTCTCAGCTGAGCCTTCTGCCCACCGGCACCAAAGTGTCCGCGGTCGGGGTTCCAGTGGGTGAGCTGCCGGGACATACACATGCCATGCTAGGCTGGTAAACGGCATGAGATCTCTGGTTTCATCAACTCAGATTAAATGGGCATGGCTCAAACTGTTTGCAATGAAATCGATTGTCATGATGTATTTGAGGTCGTTCGTTGGATGGGTGTGTGAGCGCAGGCGAGCAAATTCTTTTTATCGCTAGAGCTGCAGCTGTTGGGAATACGACAAACGACAGTCACACTGTGTTGATAGGTGTGTGCTACAGTCTAAGACGATCCAGAAGCCCACACAAAAACAGCCGGCCCACACCCCCTGAAACTTTCGGCTCAAGCACTGCCAAGGTTGATGGATTTGTGAAGGCCTTTTTACAACATACTGGACATGTGTGGTTCTCGCACTTTTGCAGGTAAGTGATTTGCAGAAGTGACAAGATCTCCTTCTACCGCACCTTCTGGTCGGAACCAGGTGTGCCCCAGCGGCACTCGACTGACAGTGTCTGCAGCCTGCTCGATGTCGTCTTGGCTGAAACCTTGGCAGTGATGGAGCAGTATACCAGGCATGAGGGGCTCGCAGCCCTATCGGAGCTTTGAGGAGGAGCGTTCTGTGAGCTCTCAAGTCCTCTAGCAAATGCCGACTTCAGATCCATGTCTTGTTGGGCCTCCTCGCTGATCAGGAAGTCAACACTCTCCATGTGCGTGTTGAGTGTCGAATGGCTTTGTCCTTTTTGATCCCACACTGAGCCAGTGGTGACTATCACTACTCGGCTGCCTGGGATGTGCGAGGCTGCTTGGCTGGCTTGCAGATCAAAGGCCGTGCTGGCAGTGTTGGCCTCTGCCTCCTCCCTGCCCACTGGTCGGATGAAATGCTGGTGGGCTTCCTGCGCCAGTTCAACATGAGAAAATGTTGTTTCCAACTTGTCGATCTCAATTTTGAAAACATGTTCCTCCAAAGCCTGCTCCAGATATATCTCCAGGTTTTGCTGCAGCCTGGCCAGATTGTAGCCACTTGCACCAATTGCAACAGAAACCAAAGAAAACATCTAGGAATCAAATCAAGCATGCTGAGTTTAATCTATCAAAACTGAACTTTTACTAATTCAAGTGCTGAATAGTTACTAATTGTCAATTAGTTCAATACGTAAAACAAACATGTCTGGAAGGCCACCCCTCTTGAATATCCGAAGCATCCACCATGAAGCTGGCCTCTTCGGGGTCAAGGACGGATTCGGAAACTACGGCGGATGTCTCAAGGAAGCAACAAAATGATATACGGCCAGCCTTCTTCCTCCCGCGCATGCAAAAATGACTGAGCCACAAGGGAGCAAATTGCAGGAGAATTACTGAAGCTGAATCCATGTCACAGAGTACATGAGCCCTTGCCTTTGCTCGACAGGGCAACGTTTTTCTTTCACAATCAATCTACTTAATTTGAAGGTGGAAGAGGATGCCTTTGGCATGCCCCAAGCATATTGATAACCCCCCCTTTAGGGAAGCTTGGGCGATTGTCGAACCGCCAATCTTGAAAACGGAATGAACCCTTTAAAACAGCACTCCCACAAGTCCGAAAGGCAGGCAGAACCACGGCACACCAATTCGGCGCTCTCCTGATGCTAAAGACAAGCCATCTGAAAGGGATGTAGATGACGTAGTCGTACCAGTCGCTGTGGAAGGCGTTGGACTGGTCTCAGTCGCTGTGGAAGGCGTTGGACTGGTCTCAGACCGGATCAAGCAACTCGTGTTGATCTCTGGCTCTGACCTGGTGATGTTGCAAGATGTGTCACCGGAGGTCGAGCAAACAGCCTTCGGAATTGAGACTCCACAGCGACATGGCCAGTCCTCCGCGATGTAGCTGTCATTGTTTACCAGGAAGACGCCACAATCCCACTTGTTTTCCGAGCAGAACTTGAAGCCAGAATGAATTGAGGTGCATGGATCATTTTCGTAGATTGGGAGAGCACCCCAACAGCCTTCCGGCACCACAAAAGCTTTGGTTGAGAAGTCCACAGCACGGTACGCATCCAATGCTTCCTTCACAGCAGCAGTGAGGTCTTCCTCCCTGCAAGTACCTTATGTAGCTCTCCAGTGACTGGGTAGAATCGAATTGACCAACCTAATAGCTTCTTGTTCCTAGTAGTAAGGCCAGGAGCCCCTAGTAGCGTCCTTGATCCTAGTAGCGATGCCAGGAGCCCCTAGTAGCTTCTTGTGAATCAACATGTCTGACGTTGAGCAAAACCGACAAGTTGCTTCTCTTGTAAGGCGCATCCAACGTGCTCTCATCCAAAGTGAGGTTTTCGGTGATCTCACAAGACAGCGACGTTGCCACGGGACTGCTACTGCAGAGATGTGCGGGTCTCTGGCGGCAAGCCTCAGTCACCGCGACGGATCACTTCAGATCTCCGTGCTTGGAAGATTTTGTGCCGCAAAGTTCTCTTCCTATGGGTTTTTGTTGATGTTCTTGTTTAATTATAGCCGTATAGCCAATAAGAACTCTTGTTTTGATAAGACTTTGTGGTGCTTATTCCAACAACCCAACACGTGATAGGTCTGGGTGATGCCTTTCCATGATGCAGTACACGAGGTTAGAACGGATGGCCTCCTTCAGTGCAGCACGGTGTCTCACTGGTGTCCTCTGTTCTTGGAATCCAAGAAGCCGTAAAGGCTTCTCCAAGGCTCTGTTTTGCTCGCCCTAGTACCTCACTGGTGTGCCACATAGTATCACAGCTCACCACCCAATCTGCATCTTCTGGAAAGAACGCCACCTTGGTGAATAAGACCAACAACTTCACGAGGTGATCATAGGACACCCACAGCTCCAGCTTGGCTCTAGCTTGGCTCACAAAAGAACTAAGACCTGCACAAAAACAAACAAAAACAAAACGTTTAAGGAGAAGAGCCACGATGTGAATCAAGTTTTCGGTCGGCGCAAGCTCCAAAAATGCACCGAGACAACCGCCATGGCCTGCTCGAGGTTGACCGGTCCTCCAGTCGTTGTAAACCCCAAAGGTGCGACCGGTCGCTGGTACGACTCCATGCCTCGAAGCCCACTCCGTGCTGCGGCATTAAAAATACAAAAAGGAACATGCGAGCAGGTAGGAGGCCAACGCTAGTAGGTTAGAGGCGTAACATTTTCTTATTTTCTTTTCTAGTTTTTTTCTAGTTTAGATTTTGTAGTTCATCTTCAATCTTGGCTAGTAGATTGAAGGCCATCACTAGTAGGTTGGAGGCCATTGCAATTAGGTTGGTGGCCATTGCGCTTAGGTTGGAGGCCATTGCAATTAGGTTGGAAGCCATTGCAACTAGGTCAGAGGCCATTGCAATCAGGTTGGAGGCCATTGCAATTAGGTCAAAGGCCATTGCAATTAGGTTGGAGGCCACTGCAATCAGGTTGGAGGCCATTGCAATTAGGTTGGAGGCCATTGCAATTAGGTT